TTGATAAGTTTTGTAGTTTATCAGTTTTGTAGTTTATCAGTTTTGTAGTATATCAGTTTTGTAGTTTATCAGTTTTGTAGTTTATCAGTTTTGTAGTTTGATAAGTTTTGAGTTTAATACGTTTTGTAGTTTGATAAGTTTTGCAGTTTATCAGTTTTGTAGTTTGATAAGTTTCGTAGTTTATCAGTTTTGTAGTTTATCAGTTTTGTAGTTTATCAGTTTTGTAGTTTATCAGTTTTGTAGTTTATCAGTTTTGCAGTTTATCAGTTTTGTAGTTTGATAAGTTTTGTAGTTTATCAGTTTTGTAGTTTGATAAGTTTTGCAGTTTATCAGTTTTGTAGTTTATCAGTTTTGTAGTTTATCAGTTTTGTAGTTTATCAGTTTTGTCGCTGATAAGATATTTTTTTATATGTTTTGAGGTGATAAATTTAGTGACTATACGTTTTGTATGGGCTCCTCTTATTCAGTTATATAATTACGTTATATTTTCACATCTGTTTGTTTTTAGACTGCGTTTATTCTAGTTCATTTATTGGGAACTATTATACAGATCATCTCAGGTAGATTTTAAAAATATATATTACACACTACACCAGGCCTTTCAGAGATTATCATTCATTTTTAAAGTAGGCGTTTTTTATTTTTGTTTTATTTTGGTAGGTGAGTAAAATCTTTTTAAAGGGGTAGTTCATTAATATCTGAAGGGGATTCTCATTCATTTCTAAGGACAAATCAAATATATTATCAAGTACAATAGGTGGCAACAGAGAAACGGACCAATTATACACAACGTCACAAGTGTCAAATATAACAAGGAAAACGAAATTGTCTCACATTAGCTGACATGTTTTCCAAGATTAAATAAAAAAGTGTAAAAACAGAAACTAAAGAACACATAAAAATTGCACTTATTTTACTTTATTCTAAAATTATCACTATTACTGATAATTTTGTTGGACACAAAAACTGAATTGACACTTGTGACGACAGAATACAGGTGTACTGAGAGTGTACAAATTCTACGTTGCCATCTATTGTACTAGACTCTATTTGGGGCAAATCATATAAATTATTCTTTGATGGGACTATTTTTGTAATCTTTCTTTAAATGATATTTAATATTTTTTTAAAACACCAGATTGAAATTATTTTAGTAACGATTTAGTAATGATTTGTCCTGCATACTGCACTCTTTAAAGTTTTTACAACATTGAACTTTTATTTTTAAAATCTGCTATTAGGATCTGTAGCTCTTGTGTCAACAGGACTAATAATACCGCTAATAACCAACTGCTCTGAACCTTCAAGCTTAGGTGAGTTATATATTGTTTGGTACTATAGGGCGTACACTCAGGGGGAACTCAGCCCTCCCCCTCCTGGATATGGTTTTCAGAGGGTTTTAAGGCCCAAATGGATACAGAACTCCTTCTTGAAGAATGAAAATAAAGTTACCCCCCCCCCCCTCTGGACAAATTCCTGAGTACGCCCCTGTTAAGTATACTTCTCTTCGTGTGCATCATGCATCATGCATCATGCATCATGCATCATGCAACACAAATTCGTGTTCTAAGGATTTCTCATGTACAGTAAAAAATCTTATACTATTTTTATTTGTTAGAATTTGGATGTTGTGAAATTTGTTAGCGAATAGTTCAATTGTTTGAAATTAACCAAAGGTTGAGAATAGTTCAGTTGTTTGAAATTAACCAAAGGTTGAGAATAGTTCAGTTGTTTGAATTTAACCAAAGGTTGAGAATAGTTCAGTTGTTTGAATTTAACCAAAGGTTGAGAATAGTTCAGTTGTTTGAATTTAACCAAAGGTTGAGAATAGTTCAGTTGTTTGAATTTAACCAAAGGTTGAGAATAGTTCAGTTGTTTGAATTTAACCAAAGGTTGAGAATAGTTCAGTTGTTTGAATTTAACCAAAGGTTGAGAATAGTTCAGTTGTTTGAATTTAACCAAAGGTTGAGAATAGTTCAGTTGTTTGAATTTAACCAAAGGTTGAGAATAGTTCAGTTGTTTGAATTTAACCAAAGGTTGAGAATAGTTCAGTTGTTTGAATTTAACCAAAGGTTGAGAATAAAGAACACAAGTAGTCGGAGAATATTCCTTAAAGATATCCCTAATGATGTCCCTTAATGATGTCCCTAATGATGTCCCTAATGATGTCCCTAATGATGTCCCTAATGATGTCCCCTAATGATGTCCCTAATGATGTCCCTAATGATGTCCCTAATGATGTCCACTAATCCAGAAAGAAAGATTTGTTTGGTCATTTCTCATCGGCTGGATTTTAACCAATCAGAAGTGATCAGAAACCAAACCAACCAATGGATATTTTAAAAAAACTGAACACTCGCTTTTTCACAAATAAGGCATGCTATAGAATTCCCTTGAGCTGACCCACACGAGTTAGAATGTAGCTGGATCTGGTCCCAGAGGATGCCGGGCAGCCTCGCTAGCCATTTCCTTCATTGCTGCCCACACTTCATTCCCCACCGGTATTATTTCAGAAGGATCCAGCACAAATGTAAACTCATTTGGGAGTTCAATGGTGAAGGAATATGGGATTTTAGCAACAGCCTTCATGTAATCGTCACTAGCTCCTCCGGCTGCATAGAGAACTCCTGCACCTGAACCTACTGTGTACACTCTTGATGGATTTATACAACGGATAGCTGTAGCACCTTTCCTGCCTAGGTTGACCAGCTTGTCATAATCCTCCGGAAGGTCATTCTTGTAACCCCAGGATGTTAACCAGTACTGTCCATAGGAGTGTAGGCTGACATAAACTCGGATATTGTTTGTGTATTTAAGAATGGTGTTAATTATTGCCTGTGTTTCGGGTTCAGAATTCTCAGCTGTTCCTTGGTATACTTCTGAGCACCCTTTTGAAGAGGCCCCAACCCCATAACCAGCTACACCCCAATTCCTGTTCAGATCTACTCCATAGCAGCTAGATCCAGTGAGCGGAGCACGCCTATTTTTCCTCCATAATCTGTCATCCGTATGAGTAAACTCATATCCATCCGGGTTTAGTAATGGCGCAATATACCAATCTACACTACGGATAACTTCATCACTACAGTCCGTCTTATTCTGTGCAGCAAAGTTTGTTATCAGGTTTTTCAGTATATAAGTGGCAGTGCTTACAGAAATCCACTCCCGGGCATGTATTCCACCATCAAGCCAGACGGCTCTAGTGTTATCACCTAGAGGAGACATTCCTATCTTCAAAACATACAGCTTTCTTCCCTCAACTGATCTCCCCATGTCAATTAGTTTTGTAAAGGTTGGATGAGCTAATGCTGTTTCTTCCATCCATCTTATAATAGTATCATACCGTTGGTAATCATTCCAGTTCATTGAGGCAACTTGTCGTTTCATCCTACTACTCAGGGATACTTTCTCACGGATCAAAGATCCCATATCATCAATAATCTCTTCGACAAGTATTCCTTTCTCGGCGATAAGTTCCTTGAACTTGGCGATATCTTCAGGAGGACACATGACGTCTACTGGACGACCAGGGATACCAGGAAACTTCATAATCTCGCAGATTTTATCCGTCAGATCGCGTAGGAACTGGACATCATCTTCGGTAGTTGGGTAAATCCTCAGCACAGTATGCTTGTCATAAGTCCTTAACAAAAAGATTTGACAGCCTTGTTATCATATGAATCAATTTTGTCCTTTCACAATTTCAGAAAATTGAAAGACGACTTGAAAATTTGAGAAAATAATTTGCGTCTCATTTTTTTATTTTAATTTGAAGATAATTATAGAAACAATAATCACAAAATACCCCTAGTCCTGGTAATTTCAAAATGTCTGCCATTTTTGTCCTTTCAAAATTATACTGAGATCTTAATGATTTCGTTTAGACTTAAACAATTTTGGTTTTATTAAATGAATTGAAATCTAAACGAAATCATTCAAAACTCCAAAAATGTTGAAAGCACAAAAAAGGCAGAGAAACTATTTTTAAAAATCCACGAATTTCTAATTCCAAGAATCCTTTATTTACTGTGTACACATAACAGATCTATACACAGTTTATATTTTAACAAATTCACTTGTAATGCTATCAAGTGTTACACAAATATATTGAATATATTTAGGAGAATGAATGAATGTAAATATTTTTAAATGCATTAAATTCAATTTAACCCCAGATTATCTTAACTTTAGTTTGAAGTTGAATAAATATAACTTAAATTGAAAATTGATAAATTGAATTAAAATAAAAAGAATAAATTGAATGGATAGGATTTGGATCTGAATCTAAAATACTTAAATTTAAGAAAATATACGATTAAACATAATTATTCTAGTTAAATATTCAATCATTGTTATATATAGCAATTCAATGAAGACGACATTCTATTTCAAAATTGGATTTCTACCAAGCTTTAAAAGAGCATGGATACACATAAAGAAATCAAAACTTAAATAGAATAGTCGTCTTCTGTATTTAAATCTTCTGTATTTAAATTGAAATATTTTCCATCACATAGATTGGCAAATTTAAATAAGAAAAATAAAATTTATAAAAATAATAAAATATCTTACATATACGTATCTCCCGTAGGTGAAGTAAAGGCATCACTGCAAAAGCAATAATATTGATATTTAACTTTTTTTATACAAAGGAAATGAGTGTTTGTCACTTACTCAAATTTTTTCATTCAAACCTATGAATTCTGTTAAATGTCTATTTTAAAGATATTAAAGGTTTGCACCACCAGGTTGCAAATGTACAGAGATTAGAAAAATTGAGTTTGTGTCAATAACTCAGTTCCTTCGGCTGTTTGTTTGTATCTAATGAATGTCAAAATTGCGTAACCAATCGGTCCCAATTTTTTTGTGGGAACTTACATGACCCCGGGAAAGGTTTATAGATGGTCCAAAATAAAAAAATTGTACCTGAAAAAAATGTAGATTTTCTTAATTTTAGAAATAATCTATCAAAAAGAAAAATTTTACTCTAAGAAGAAAAAATGGAGACTTGAATATTAACGAATTAAACGCCTTAATTGTTACTAGAACAAGGGACGGGAAAATCAAATCATTTTAAATAACGTTCATTTGAATTATTATTACGGAATTATTTTATTTAATAAGATAATTATTGTTCCTGAAGAAGAGAAGGAAAATAAGTTGAATGAAACGCATTTACTCTGCCAGATCTGTCCTCCCTAAACAAGTAAATAAAATAAACAAATTACATCTATAATTAACAACATAGTACATAATCAATTATTCATTACAAGATGACGTATAAATAAAAATCACTTATACGATATTATTTAAACTTTTCTCTGATCATTGATATTGAAGTAATTTTTTATGTCGATGATAAAGCCGTAAAGTGCACTTTAAAGTAAAGAAATCACAAGTAAAAATAATTAATTTTTAAAGAGATAGACATGGAGGTCTCATTTGGTCATTAGAAAACAAAGCTTTTAAGGGTACCGTTGTGAATCCGACTACAATCCCTGTTCCTATTCATTTTGACGCAATGGAAATTGTAGATCTATTCAGTAGCATTACTTTTACTCTTCAGTCTCAAAAGGAACTTGCAACGTGACTTCACGTATTTCACCTCATATCTCTTTATCGGAGTAACAATGAGGAAGATATCGTCGTTTTATCTTGAACACGTAACTTTCTTCCTTATTTCTAGCTGCTGCATATAACCCCGCAAGCCACTTTTTAAAGAAGCCTCAATCAAGTAAACCGATGAATTTTAAATAGAACGCTGATATCTTTAAAATGTGAACTAAGAAAAAAAGGTTATTATATACAAAAGATGTCTTTCTGAACGTACTCTGTAGTTCCTACTGATTAATTGACCGATTTGACTCAAATTTTGATCGCGGAACTCGGGAGAACCACTAGAATGATCTTAGTTTGGTTTTATATTCTATGTTGAGTGGGTAGACTTTTAGAGGGAAAAATAGTTAAAATCATAATTTAAGACAAAGTGCAGGTAAACGGCGTGAGTAACTATGAGTAACCTGGGCAGCGCTGGGTTCCCAGACTCGTATACTTATATATAAAAATCAAAATTTGTTAAGTACAATATCAAGAGGATTCCGAGTTACCTGTGTTAGCCTTGACGGTAAACTAATCTAAACTAATCTAGAAAAAACATCTGTACAGTTTACACATTATACGTGCTCATAGCTCACACCCCATACACCTGTCAGGAATATCACTAAAAGAATCAAATTTTCAAAAAAGAACGAAAACTCTTTAGAAAAAAAATTAACTTTGAACGTTATTTTTTATCAATATATTCAGAGCCGGAAACTTTTGTATCAAATCTACATCTAAGTTACCGGAGCTGAGTATAAGGTTCAACAGTTTAGGGATAAAATGATCGATGCTTTATTTTTTAAACTGTTCTAGATTTTTTTCCTAGGTTTTGTGCTGGGGTTGATAAAGCAGTTTGTCGTCCAGGTTTGCTGTCCTGGGTTTAAGGAAAGGTTTAATATAGATTAGGTTTGATGCTAGGTTAACTATCCTAGGTTTTCGGCAGAGTTTAACATTTGCTGCGAGGTTTACTACCTAGCTTTTATGCAATGTTTGATATTACAGGTTTGCTGTTCTAGGTTTAAAGAAAGGTTTACAAATCAGGTTTAATGTTAGGTTTGATGTAAGGTTAAATATCTCAGGTTTTATGTTAGCTTTACTGTACTAGGTTTGACGCAAGGTTTGTTGTTTTAGGTTTGATACAAATTTTTATGTGTAAGATCTGCGCAAGTTTTAATATATATTGGGTTGTTGCAAGGTTGTCTCTAGGTTTGCTAACCTAGGTATGAGGAAAGGATTGATGAATGAGGTTTGGGGCTAGGGTTACTACCTAGCTTTGATGGAAGGATTAATATGTCCGGTTTTATGGTGTAGGTTTACTATCCTAGGTTTGATGCTAGGTTTACAACCTAGCTTTGATGTAAGGTTTAATATGTCAGGTTTTATGGTGTAGGTTTACTGTCCAAGGTTTGATGCAAGGTTAAATATAGCAGGGTTGCTACTAGGATTACTGTTCCGGGTTTCATGCAAGGTTAAATATAGCAGGGTTGCTACTAGGTTTACTGTCCTAGGTTTGATGTAAGGTTAAATATATCAGGGTTGCTACTAGTATTACTGTCCTAGGTTTGATGTAAGGTTAAATATAGCAGGGTAGCTACTAGGATTACTGTTCTAGGTTTGATGTAAGGTTAAATATAGCAGGGTTGCTACTAGGATTACTGTCCTAGGTTTGATGTAAGGTTAAATATAGCAGGGTTGCTACTAGGATTACTGGTCTAGGTTTGATGCAAGGTTTGTTGTATTAGGTTTAATGTAAGGTTTGTTGTATCAGATTTGCGCAAAGTTTTATATATATCGGGTTGATGCAAGGTATGACATATCAAGGTTTGATGCAAGGTTAAATATTTCAGGTTTCATGCAAGGTTTCTTGTCCTAGGTTTGATGGGTTGATACATCAGGTTAGAAGATAGGTTTGCTGTCACAGGTTTGATGTAAGGTTTGCTGTTCTAGGTTTGAGGAAAGGTTTGATAAATCAGGTTTAATGTTAGGTTTACTGTCCTAGGTTTGATATAAGGTTTAATATATAAGGTTTGATGCAAGGTTTAATATATAAGGTTTGATGCAAGGTTTACTATCCTAGAGTTAATGCAAGGTTTATTGTCCAGATTTAATATGTCAAGTTTGATGGTATAGGTTTACTGTTTAATGTTTGATGCTAGATTTACTGTTCTAGGTTTAACACAAGGTTTTCTACATCAGGTTTGATTCTAGGTTTACTGTTCTAGGTTTTACGCAAGGTTTGACTGTGCTGGTGGTGGTTCTTGTAATCTCAATCCTTCTTCATATTATCATCATCACACTTCTCCTTACAGTAGATTTCATCAGTATTATAAAGGTAAACCTGGAGAAATATTATAAAGATAAATCTGGAGAAGTGTTATAAAGGTAAACCTGGAGAAGTGTTTGAAGGTAAACCTTGAGAAGTGTTATAAAGGTAAACCTGGAGAAGTGTTATAAAGGTAAACCTGGAGAAATATTATAAAGATAAACATGGAGAAGTATCATAAAGGTTAAACTGGAGAAATATTATAAAGATAAATCTGGAAAAACATTATTAAGGTAAACCTGGAGAAGTATTATAAAGGTAAACATGAAGAAGTATCATACAGGTAAACTGGAAAAGCATAATAAAGGTAAACCTGAAGATGTATTTTTAAGGTAAACCTGAAGAAGTATTGTAAAGGTAAACCTGGAGAAGTATAAAGATAAACCTGGAGATTAATTATGAAGGTAAACCTGGAAAAGTATTATAAAGGTAAGCCTGGAGAAGTATTATAACGGTAAACCTGAGGCTGAATTTAGAGAATTTTGCTCTAATGAAACCGCCAATAACAGGTTTTTCATTTGAGCGCCGGCTGAAATCTCGGAAACACTTAAAAATTTGCAGTTGAACCAACCATGTCTAAACATCAAGATTAATGGGAAATTAAAAGGAAAGATCACTTGAAGAATTTTTATCCTGGCTTCAGCTTAAATTATATTTTTAATTCCTGAGGGGGAGGGGGGATGTGAGCCTCCTCTATGCAGACTCTCAGATTTGCTATGCAGTACGAGCCTCTGCTATACAGTAAACAAGCCTCCTCTATACAGAATAGTTTCGTTAACACTCTTGGGATTTACATGTAGTATAGAAGTTATTGTATTTTATTCGAAATAGTGGCATTAAAGTTTATCAAAAGTCGGAAGTATTAATCAATTATTATTAATAGTGACTAATTATGATTAATAAAGTGAATTATAAAATTTTAAGCATTTTTTACGCAAAAAATAAAGCATTTAGAGAAAAAATTCTGAAAGTAATTTTATTTGATATTTTATAATCTTTGATTTAAGCTATACCTTTGTTGAAATTTTTATCCTAAAAGATAATAAAAAATTTGACATTAACAGATAATCTAAATCTTAAAAAAAATTCCCAAAAATGTATCGCTTAAATCAAAGATAAAAACAAAATAAACTAAGTTCGAGACATAAATCTTATAAACCACTTTATGAGTCAATATAAGATACAAATCATAACAATCAATAAACAACATTAATATTAAGTAAAGTTCTTGTGCCACTATGTTGAAAAAAATATTTTATATGAAAAAGCCAAGAGTTATAAAGAAGCTGTGCTGTATAGCGGAGGCTCGTTTACTGCATAGTGGAGGCTCTCACTGAATGGCAGAGGCTCGTACTGCATAGTAAATCTGGGAGGCTCGTGTCTGCATGGTTCATGGCTCATGGCGGCCGAGGTTTCCTCCCTCGGGGGAGGGAGGGTAGAATTATGAAGAAAATATTTTGGTTCAGTCTAGTTTCATGTCCTGTTACATTAGGATTCTGGTCCTCCAAAATGTCCTGTTACTCTAGGATTCTTTTCTTCTAAAATGTCCTGCTTTTCTAGGATTCTGTTCCTCCAAAATGTCCTATTATTCTAGGGTTGTGGTCCTCCTAAATGTCCTATCATACTAGGATTCTGGTCCTCCTAAATGTCCTATTTTTTAGGATTCTGATACTCCAAAATTTCCTATTATTCTAGGATTCTGATCCCCCAAAATGTCCTATTATAAAAGGATTGGGGTCTTCCTAAATGTCCTATTATTCTAGGATTCTGTTCCTCCTAAATTTCCTATTATTCTAGGATTCTGGTCCTGAAAAATGTCTTATTATACTAGGATTCTGATCCTCCTAAATGTCCTATCATACTAGGATTCTGGTCCTCCTAAATGTCCTATTTTTTTAGGATTCTGATCCTCCAAAATTTCCTATTATTCTAGGATTCTGGTCCCCCAAAATGTCCTATTATATAAGGATTGGGGTCTTCCTAAATGTCCTATTATTCTAGGATTCTGGTCCTCCTAAATTTCCTATTATTCTAGGATTCTGGTCCTGAAAAATGTCCTATTATTCTAGGATTCTGGTCCTGAAAAATGTCCTATTATACTAGGATTCTGATCCTCCTAAATGTCCTATTATACTACGATTCTGGTCCTCCTAAATGTCCTATCATACTAGGATTCTGGTACTCCTAAACGTCCTATTATTCTAGGATTCTGATCCTCCAACATGTCCTATTCTAGGATTCTGATCCTGCAAAATGTCCTATTCTAGGATTCTGATCCTCCAAAATGTCCTATTATTCTAGGATTCTGATCCTCCAAAAATCCGTCTGGACTCCTACCGAAGCCCAGCAATGTATATGAGTAGAGGAGAGCTACAGGAAATTAAAGATTCAACAGGTGCACGCCTTTTTAATCATAGTTTTTAATCCTCCCAAGGGGGGGCGACTTTTTTTGCAGTTTTAAAATTATTTTTTGTTAAATACTTTTTTCTTTCGAATTAGAACTTAAAACACAATGCTGAATTCTTTTTTTAAGCGTTTGGTTTCTAATGAGCATGTTTCATTTAATAAAGATCGAGTATATACATTTTTTACGATTCAAATTTTATTTTACTGTCTATAATTCTGTAAAGCATGAATGGCCCTCTGCAAAAAGTTTATCCAGAATTTAAATAAAATAAAATAAAAGTATTTTATTCTCCAGAAAGAAATTAAATTTAAACCAATTGAGTAAAACCTTGTTATGGTTCGTTCTACCCCTTTTAAAAGTAATATTTCCGTAAAATGAAATCAGGAACTTGGTTTCCTGTTCTAATTGGGTCACTTTAGGAATTAATAGAAAAAAATGAAGTTTTTTGTCTAGATTTGTTGAAACTCCATCACGTGCTTAGAACCCGGCTCCCCTCCTTGAAGAGCAATCATCCAACCCACCCTGCTTCTCCAGGTTTCCTAAACAGTCTGGCAGATGTTCCTCTCTCTCCTTATCTCAAAGATCCGTCTCTAGGTGCTGGGTTCTTCCTTGCTACCGGAGAAACTAAACTCGCATAGAATTTTAAGTTCTTCCTTGCTACCGGAGAAACTAAACCTGACTTTGTGTTCTAGTTCTTAGTTCTACTACCGGAGAAACTGAAATTCATCTAGTTCTGAGTTGTTGGTTATGAGTGATACAGGAGAACCTAAACCGACAATTTTAGTAATTATTTGCAAACCTTACACGAAGAAGCGATGCATATAAAAATTGTTGTTTAGGCTTAATGCTCTCATATTGGTGACTTATTTTAATTTTTCCTTTAGAAATTGTAATTTCGTTTTATAGTGTATGAATTCTAAATGTAAAATATTTCACAGCAATTTAATAAAATTTTAAAACTAAATGCGCAACTTTTTTGCATCATTGACATTCAAGTGTTACCCGATTACTGTAAAAAGTTCCTTGATGGTTCTATAAATGGGTCCAAAATGGATCTAAAATTATACAGCTTGAGAATTAGAGCACTCCCGTAATTTTATCCCATTTACCAGGCGTCTGAAAAAAAACAAGAAACAAAACATCAAAATTACTCAGCATGTTTCAGACGCAAATTTTTTGTAATTTTATTTTTTCATTTACATTTTTTCAAATATTATTGACACCCTGTGCATTACGATCATTCATGGTAGTGGTTTGCGGAAGCAGGATGGCGGGAACTAGGGGAGGTGTCAAGTTTAGATAATGGTGTCGTACATGTTTCATAATACTCAATTAAAAAAGGGACATAATGAATGTAAAGAGAGTTGGGGGAAAGACCTGGGAAGGAGGGGGGGGGGGGGTGAAGGATCTAACTTAAATTAGGTACAATTTACAAACACTAAAGGTGTCATAAAATTTACTATTTGCAGATGCCAGTACCTCAATTCTGAACAGTTATTAGTTTTTTTGGACAAGGAAATTGACAAATTTCCAATCTAATAGGACAAATATAAATCTTGTGCTACGTTCAAGATGCTTTAATATCCAATAAGGTACTGGAAAGCCTCAGATATTAATTATTTGCTCTATTTATTGCATCCTATCACAGCAATCGGCTTTACCACTCTATTAATGAAGAGTAATTTGTTTATGTCTTAATCAACTTTTATTAAATAAACCTAGGAAACTGATGATTTAATAATGGCTTATTCAATACCCATCATCTATCACCTGTCAACGGTTTACATCAAGAAAAGTAAACCAGGAATTAACACATCTTAGCTGACGAAAATAGTTCACTGCAGTTTCCGCATTACAGATTCTGGTAGTACGCTTACATTTCCTTGGGTTACATCAACTTGTCAAATAGATGGTTCCTGGTGTATTTTCCTTGGGTTAGATCAACTTGTCAAATAGATGGTTCCTGGTGTATTTTCCTTGGGTTACATCAACTTGTCAAATAAAGGGTTCCTCGTGTATTTTCCTTGGGTTACATCAACTTCTGGTGTATTTTCCTTGGGTTACATCAACTTGTCAAATAAAGGGTTCCTGGTGTATTTTCCTTGGGTTACATCAACTTGTCAAATAAAGGGTTCCTCGTGTATTTTCCTTGGGTTACATCAACTTTTCAAATAGATGGTTCCTGGTGTATTTTCCTTGGGTTACATCAACTTGTCAAATAAAGGGTTCCTGGTGTATTTTCCTTGGGTCACATCAACTTGTCAACTGTCATGATTTGATTAAGGTTCACTCCTGAGTCCTGACCAACAATTCCACTCTTCTCTAAATAGAATATAAAAATAATTGAATTTAATCTTTTGTCTTTATATAATTTGGAAAAGATAAGAGCAAGTTTAAAGATATTGCTCAGCAAAAAATGTATACTAAATGAAACCCATATTAGAATCTAGCAGAGAAGCCAAGTTTTCCACTCAAAGATGTTATTGAGAGCCAGAAAATTGAATATTTAATGTGAAATTTTATTCAAAGTTCATTGAAAAATGTTTGTAGGGAATTTTGTGCACATTTTCGATACTTTCCGTGGATCTTATTAATGAACAAGCTTTATTAAAGGGACTGAAAGAGTAATTTCAAGGGACCCTCAATGAAAAGATGTCAATGGCCGATTCACAAGGGTACCTTTAAATCCTTTATCTGATCAAGTGCAAATTATACATATATGTTTATTGTTTTAATAAATTTTTAATTATTTTGAATTTGAAAAGTGACTTGCTAATTTCTTCTTCAGGAAAACATGTAAGAATTATCAGTATTAAACGTAGGTCAAGACAGGAGAACATGTAGGAATTATCAGTATTAAACGTAGGTCAAGATAGGAGAACATGTAGGAAATATCAGTATTAAACGTAGGTCAAGATAGGAGAACATGTAGGAATTATCAGTATTAAACGTAGGTCAAGACAGGAGAACATGAAGGAATTATCAGTATTAAACGTAGGTCAAGACAGGAGAACATGTAGGAATTATCAGTATTAAACGTAGGTTAAGACAGGAGAACATGTAGGAATTATCAGTATTAAACGTAGGTCAAGATAGGAGAACGACAATATCTTCTTAAGATAAAGACTTCAAGGGTACCATTGTGAATCCGGCTTAGCCATCTTTGCATGAAGGGTTACTTGAAAATATGCTTACAGTCCCTTCCAGCAAAAATTGGGATGTTATAACTCTTCAGAAATAAGAGAGAAATCTCTTTCAGACTGAAGAAAACCGTTAAAAATTTCAGTAAAGGGTTCTCTGAAGTCTCATCCTTTATGGGTAACCCAGGTAATGGAAGATGTATATTTATATTATTGATTTAATATCTAAACTGTAATATATTCATGTGATTTATCAAAAGCCAGAAGTATAACTGCAAACTGAAAAACAACCTAATTTGTTGGAGCAAATTGAGGATAATAAATCTCAACCAGACATTATATGAAACCTTCTTTTTTTGCGGCAATGTCAGACCAATTTGTTATTTTTGCATGACTGTGCGTTTCCGCGCAAATATACAAATATACAAAATGTTAATGCACTTGCATGCAACCTAGAAGCATAATAATTACAATTGAAACAATCAAGGGTTATAGGACTAGGTGGCAAAAAAAAGTATTGTCGAATAGGATTGAGTTGGAACTATGAAATTGGTGAAATTAATGCGTTCGGACAGAGAGCAGTAATTGATTGGTTAAGGAGTACAGATGGGTTCTTAGGGATATTAAGTTCTGAAAAGTAAAGATGGGTTCCAAGGAGTAAAAATTGGGGTTGAGGAGTAAAGATGGGTTCTGAGGTTTAAAAAAGGGTTCTCAGTAGTAAAGATAAGTTATGAGGAGTAAAGATGGGTTCTTAATAGGAGGAATATTACGTTCTGAGAAGTAAAGATGGGTTCCAAGGAGTAAAAATGGGGGTTGAGGAGTTAAGATGGGTTCTGAGGAGTAAAGATGGGTTCTGAGGAGTAAAGATAGGGTATGAGGAGTAAAAAAAGGGTTCTGAGCAGTAAAGATAAGTTATGAGAAGTAAAGATGTGTTCCAAGGATTAAAAGTGGGACATGAAGAGTAAAGATTGGTTCTGAGGTGTAAAATTGGTTCTGAGGAGTAAAGATGTGTTCCAAGGATTAAAAGTGGGACATGAAGAGTAAAGATGGGGTCTGAAGAGTAAAGATTGGTTCTGAGGTGTAAAATTGGTTCTGAGGAGTAAAGATGGGTTCCAAGGATTAAATATGGGTTCCAAGTAGAAAAGATAGATTAAAGGAGTAAAGATATATTAAAGGAGTAAAGATGGGTTTTGAGGAATTAAGATGGGTTCCAAGTAGTAAATATGTGGAAATGGGTTGTGAGGAGTAAAGATGATTTTTAGGATTAGAGACACAAGTTCTGAGAAGTAAGAAAACATTTAAGGAGTAAAGATGGTTTTTTGGGGAGTTATTATGGGTTCTGACGAGTAAAGATAGGTTCCAATGAGTAAGATGGGGGTTGAGAAGTAAAACGGGTTCCGAGGATTAGATATGGGTTTTAAGGAGTATAGGTGGATTCTGAGGAGTAATGATGGGGGGTTGAGAAGTAAAGAAGACGGGTTCTAAACTGTAAAGTTTCTGGACTCTAAGGAGGAATGGTTTTGATAAATGAATATATTCTTTAATGCGTTCTTTAGAATTGCAAAGAGTAGGGATGGGTCCTGGAAGAGTAAAGATGAGTTCTGAGATGATTCTCTGGGATTCTCACACCACAACCTAACAGTTTTCACATCCTGTATCCAGGTTCAGCTTCCTACCCAACCCTAATCAAGGATCAGGAACTCTAGGAGTGTATCTAGGAAGAATCACGAAGAGATAACCTTAAGCCATCTAGTGTCAAGGTTTTTATTTGAAAGAAAACGCGATAACCAAAGCAATTTCTAAATATATCAAAAACAACAAAAGTAAACATTTTTCTCTAAAATGTTGCTTTAACCTTCAAAATTAGGCATAATATTCGAAAATGTGCTCGGTCCCATTTCCGAAGATACTAATTGTGCCTCCACCCACTAAACGTCGTCTTATTCTACTACAATAGGTGAATGAATGGTACAATGTCCATAGATTGGGGGTCGTCGTTGAAACATTTTACTCTAAAATTCCGTTTTAGTCTTCAAAATGTACTCGAAATGTAGTCGTTCCGTTTTCCAAAAAATTTGAAACATTTTTCCGTCTTTTAGTTTTAAAAATCCTCAATTCTATGGTTGAAAATGTGGAATTGATTCTTCTGTCGTATACAACGTAAAAATAAAATTATAATTTTATTTTTTTTATTCTTTAAAAAGGAGACCGAGCACATTTTCGAATATTAGGTCCGCTTTTGAAGGTTAAAACGGCATTTTAGAGAAAAATATTTCATCGACAACCCCCTCTCATTTGTAGGTATTGTACCATTTAGGAGCACTTTCTAACAAAGGAATTGAGTTTTTTTTTCTCAAACTCTGATTTTCTTATCCCTTTATCTTTGTATTTCAATGTCGGAGATCTTAGATATTTCAAACTATTAATTATTTTAGATCAAATAATAATAGTTTGAAATATCAAAGGTTAACACCATCAGGTTGCAAAGATATAGCAATTTAAAAATCAGAATTTGTGGCTAACACTCAATTCCTTTGAACGATAGTTAGTAGGCAAAAAATGATCAGAAATAGAATTATCATGGACCCCTGGGTTTATTATACTTTATTATAGATTTGTTAGTATCTCATACACTTCATAGAATCTAATACAACTTTTAGTAATGCTATCAAAATGTTAAAATCATGAGCAGGATGATAGGAATTGCTAACATATTCTTGTCAGGGCATTGTTTTTATGAAAAAAAATTATATCAATCATAATACGTAATAATCTCTTGATTGTCTTTTTTGCAAAATATAATACGCCGAGGAGATTTAACCAT